GAGAGAGAGAGTGAGTGTGTGTGTGCGGGTGAGAGAGAGAGAGAGTGTGCCAATGTACATATGTTGAACAACACTTGGAGGAAGCCCCACAGAGTCACAAGGGCACAAAATGTACTCTGGGTGGGGGATTTCACTGTCCACCACCAAGAGTGGCTCGGCAGCAGTACTGTGATCGAGCTGGTTGGGTCCTAAAGGACGTATCTGCTAGACTGGGTCTGCGGCAGGTGGTGAGGGAACCAACAAGAGGGAAAACCATACGTGACCTCATCCTTAACAATCTGCCGGCTGCAGACCCATCTCTCCATGACAGTATCAGTAAGAGTGACCATTGCACAGTCCTTATGGAGATGAAACAAAATCGGAAATTGCTGGAGAAACTCCTATTTGGGGAGAAAACAGAGTAGATCTTTTGAATTCAGTGACTTTGGGGCAGCACGGTGGCTCAGTGGTTAGCACTGCTACCTCACGGCGCCAGGGACCCGGGTCCAATCCCACCCTCGGACGACTGTCTGTGTGGAGTTTGCACATTCTCCCTGTGTCTGCGTGGGTTTCCTTCGGGTGCTCCGGTTTCCTCCCACAGTCCAAAGACATGTAGGTTAGGGTGGATTGGCCGTGCTAAATTGTCCCGTAGTGTCTAGGGATGTGCGGGTTAGGGTGGATTGGCCATGCTAAATTGTCCCGTAGTGCCCAGGAATGTGCGGGTTAGGGTGGGTTGGCCGTGCTAAATTGTCCCATAGTGTCCAGGGATGTGCAGGTTAGGGTGGATTGGCCATGGGAAATGCTGGGTTACAAGGATGGAGTGGGATGCTCTTCAGAGGGTTGGTGTGGACTTCATGGGCTGAATGGCCTGCTTCCACACCATGGGGATTCTATTATTCTACTCTTTTCCATCTCTACATCGAGGATGCCCACCTGGCCAACATAAAGGTGGACCTCCTGTTTCTGCAGGAGTGCAGGATACTGCACCTCAGCTACTGGAAATGGTCGAGCTTGTGGGCCCACGGGCCTTCAATTTGATCGGGGCCAACAACTGCTGTTGCTCTGGCTTGGGTGTTGTGATGCGAGGAGGAAACTTCACTATCTCCGAGGTGAAGGAGGTGCTTGGCGGGTGTCTCTTCGTAGCAAATGTTACGTACAGACAGCAAACAGTGAGCGGCTGGCTTTCCTGCAGCAGCTCCCATTGCTGTTGGCGACGTTCAACTCAGTCATCCTGGCAAGAGGCTTCAACTGCATCATTGGTGAAGATGGAGAATCCAGATGGGCTGACAGCAAACTGGGCACCACATTTAGATTCCTGATGGAGACAATTAAAAATGCCAAGCTGGACAATATCTTCAGCACCCCTGCATTCGGAGCACAGCATAGATACTCCTGGTTGTGGCCAGAATGCTCAAGGATAAGTTTTCCTGTTTGCCTCCCATACGTTCTCTGTCAGATCCACTAACGTCAAGCCACTGGAAGGAGCATATTGCCAAGATGAGGCAGAAACTGAGCGGATTGGAGAGCCACTCCCTCTCCATTGCAGGTAAAAACTCTTGTCATTGGGTGTGATGTCCTCTTGGTGTTGCGGTTTGTGGCGCAGTTGTGGACTATTCCCTGAGTCTGCACCACTGCAGTCACCCAAACCATCTTCTACTTCATTTGGAGGTCAAAGATGGATCAGGTCCGAAGGCACACCAAGTGTTAGACAAGCGGAGGGAAGAATGTACCCAACGCTACCTTCATCCTGTTGGCCACCTTCGTATGTCGCTGCATCAAGCTGTGTGTAGACGCTCAGTACACAAACACCCTGTATCACTACTTACTGAGGTTCTACCTGTCCCTGGTGTTGAGGATGGGTCTGGCCTCGTTGCCATGGTATGCTCCAAGTAGTTGGATGATTTTGTATCACCTGTCCTTTGTGGAGAAACTTGTTTAGAAAAACACCTTTGACCAGTGCCCATCATGGAGTGGTCAGCATGTAGCATCCTCGAGACCCTGTGGGAAAAGGAGAGGGTTCCTTGGGTTGGGTGGTTCCCTGAGCAGACTGTCAAAGTCTTTTGGCAGAATGCTTCATCACCAAAACTTTCTAACAAGCACCAAGACATAGTTTGGCTGGTGGTGAGAAGGGCCCTACCTGTGAGATCCTTAATGTACGCCCAGACTCTACACACCATCACAAGCTGCCCTTGAAGTGACTGCGGGGGTGGACAAGACTGTCACACATCCGCCTTCTCGGAATATGCCTTTGCAAAGGATGATGTTTGGAGAGAGCTGCTGTCGTTCTTTAAAGGTTCGTTAGGGTCAGTTCAGGTAATGACTGAAAACCAGTCTCCAATCCTAACACTGTTTCCACAATATATTCATCCATTATGCACCTTTTATTTTTAACTGGAGCTGGTTCCCATGTCTGTTCCCCATAGTGAGATGCTTCCATTTCTCATTTTATGAAGAGTTCTGGAAGAAAAGTTACGCCTGATTCAATACGTCGTCTCCACTGATGCTGCCAGACATGCTGACTTTCTGTAGTTTACTACCCCCTATTTAAGATCTGAATTTCATCTCTCACTGAGATCCCGTGATTTGATCTTCAAGTGGAAACCCATTGACCACTTAATTGGCTTTCAGTTTCAACTATTTTTCAGCATTCTGTATTTTGTTTGATTTTCTTCGAATCACAGCCCAGGAAGAGGCCAGCTCTTTGCAACAGCAGTTCGGCTCATGCCACTCTCCTGTGAACCTGCTTCTTTTTCTCTGTTCAGATAAAGGTTCAATTTCCTTTGAAGGTCTGTTTTGATCCAGCTCCCAGTACAGGTGATGAAGGGAAAAGAAAATCCCTAAAAGTCCCCTCCAGATTCTTTGGGCAACCAATTCCAACAGTTTGAAGCCCATTGCTTCAAATCAGTAAACCAAGTGAAGTGAGTCAAGAATGATATGAACCATCTGTGTCTGAGGACTAGACCAGCTGCCAAGCCCAATTCTCGAAATCATGCTCTTGGCTCACCCTCTTGATACCTCACCCGCCTGCTCAAAGATCTGCCACTGTCTACCATTGTCTGTTACAATGAAGGCTATTCTATTTCATTAACTCGCTTACCCTCCAATACCTCATCCACCCTCTCATGCTTTCACCCAACCTCACCCACCCTCTGATACCTCATTCACCTGACATATCACCTATCCTCTGATAGCAGAACCAGCCTCTGATATCTCATACTGAACATTAACTCTCATCCTCTGTTACCTCACTAACCCTCCAATATCTCACTGACCCTTCTGGTACCTCACCCAGTTGACCCTCTCCCTTGAACAGGTTTCCTGGGCCACATGTCCAAAACTTACTCAAAGAAGGTCATCCCAAAATTGGGAACATTTGCTACCTGAAAGTTCCTCTCCAAATCACAAACCATCCTGATTTGGAATTATATAGTCATTCATAGAGTCATACAGCACAGATACACATCCTTCGGTCCAACTCATATATGCCGACCACTGGAGGAACACCTCCATGAAAGGGAGTCATGGAGTCATATAGTGCAGGAACAGACTCTTTGGTCCAGCATGTACATACTGACCAAGTTTACCAAACTAAACTAGTTCAATTTGCCTGTGTTTGGCCCAAATCCCTCTAAACCTTCCCTATTCATGTACCTGTCCAATGTTTTTCAAATGTCGTCACTGTACCTGCATCTACCATTCCCTCTGGCAGTACGTTCCACATATGAACCACCTTCTGTTGGAAAAGGTTGCCCCTCAAGTCCCTTTTAAATCTTTCTCCTCTCACCTTAAAATTATGCCATCTAATTTTTAACTCACCTACCCTGAGGAAAATATCTTTGCTGTTCACCTTATCTATGCCCCTCATGATGTTATAAACCTTTATAGGGTCACCCTTCAACCTCCAACATCCTAGTAAAATAGTTCCAGCTTATCCAGCCTTTTCTTATAACTCAAACCCTCCCAGTAACATCCTTGTAAATCTTTCCTGCAACCTCTCCAATTTAATAATATCCCTCCTATCTCAGGGTGAGCAGAACTGTACATGATACTCCAAAAGTGGCCTCACCAATGTCCTGTACAACTGCAACATGACTTCCCAACCCCGATATTCACCTGTTGAGCAATGAAGGCAAGCGTGTCATTCCTTTGTTCTCTCTTCACTACAGCAGCCTGGGTGTACCTGCACCAAAAGGACTGCAGTAGTTTACAATGGCAGTTCACTACCACCTTCTGCCTTACAGTTGGAAGAAAGGAAAGGGGGTTCACAATTGAATGAAGGGTTGAGGAATTGATCCATCAAAATTCTGAACCCTTTATTTTTCATTTGTTCATTCACTAGTGTTGGAAGTGATTTGTACACTATCCCTAACTCTAACCTTACTGTGGTTATTCTTTAACCAGCCTAATTTTTTCACCACTTGTTGTTCGCTAACTCTGCTGCTCCCAGGGATTGTATCCTCTCATCTGTCGACCAAAATTCTTGTGCTGACAATTTCTGTCTGTTCGCCATTCCTCCCCTCACAACCTCCCTTCCTACAATCGGTAAGTTGTTACAACAGGTTAACTGGAATTGCTGGCTTAATAAGATTCTTTAATAATTGCAAACACTTTAAATAGTACAGGTATTAAGGGTGTAACCTTGTTTAGAGCAAGAAATCGGATAGTTTTTCAGTCATAGTCCTTCCAGTGTCTCAGGTAATGACAGCGGCTCTTCTTAATCTCCAAGGACATTTAGCAATTAACCACGTAAGCCGTTAATCAGTGCGTGGCGTTTTTTCACCTTGAGCCGAAAATTTGGGGTTCAAGCTTCATTCTACCGACTTGAGCATTTAGTCCTGAAGAAATACTGCACTGTCTTTCGAATGAGGGGGATAAATTACAACCCTGTCTGCCTCTCAAATCAGTCATGAAAAATAGGGCATGGTTCAATTTGCAGAACAGCAGCCGAATTATCCACCCCCTAGTGTCCTGGTCCATATTTATTCCTCAAACAACGTTACTAAAAACAGATGGCATGCTCTTTAATCGTATTTATAAGAGTCTGCTGTGCACAAATTAGCTACTACATTTCCAATATTGCAGCGGTGACAACTCTTCAAAAAAAGTATTTCATCGAGTTTAAACCACCTTGGAGATGTTCCAAGATTTCAAAAGTCTTTTGAGCACTACAAGTCTTATTCACAAAACATAGAAAAGCTGCTTAGTAACCTTGCCTTCTGTACAAAACAAAATTGCCAAACAGGATTGAAAATGTAAAATGGTGGCAATTCAGAGTAGGCCAGTTCACATCTGAGAGGGAAAAGATTAATCCCTCTTAGCTTGTGTAACTGAGCATATCTGTCAAATCTTCATTCCAATGCTGGGGGAAGGGGACTTGGGAGAAATTGTTTCAAATCTTAAATTAAGAAGTCTGAAGAGCATGGGACAGGGCTGTGGCAAAATGAAACAAAATGTAGAAAAAATCTGGAAAATGTATATGGCAGAACACTAATCATGTGGATTTCTTTTTATTCACTTATGGGATGTGGGCATCTCTAATGAGGCCAGCATTTATTGTCCATCCCTAATCGCCCAGAGGACAGTTAAGAATCAAGCACATTGCTGTGGACCTGGAGTCACATATAGGCCAGACAAAGGCACTTTCCTTCCCTGAAGGACATGAGGAAATCAGATGAGATTTTCCAACAATGGATTCATGGTCATCATTAAACTCTTAATTCTAGATTTTTTAAATTATTAAATTCAAATTCCACCATGGTGGGATTCAAACCCAGGTCACCTGAACATTAGCTGAGTCTCTGGATTAACAGTCCAGCGAATAATACTAGGCCATCACCTCCCAATTGTGGGAACAGGTGAAGGCTGAGAGAAAGCATCAAGGGGAAGTCAGAATTTCAACACATAGAAGGGAAGAGAGAGAGTGCATAGAACACTGAAGTATTTCTCATCCTAACAGAAGCAAACTCACTTTGAGACCCCTCTCTGACCTCAGCCCCCTGACCACCAGATTCACGCTCAGAGACCTCTCCTAAAAGCAGGCCTCCATACCAGAATCATTTCAATTCAACAAGAAATGCCCTGCAGAAGTGCAGCTATGACTCACATTAAACCCTGTCTCTTACTTCAACTGCAGCACAGGGTCAAAAGGCATCAGAAATAATTGCCCTTCCAGCTCTGGAATGTCATCTGCTGGGAGTGTATTCAGAAATCTGGTGGTAGGTTAATCTGAGATCAGATGTCGACTATGTAACTGCAGGGGTGGATCGTGGCAGTGTTAAATATTATCCTCAATCAACATCATCACACACAAACGCTTTTCAGTCAAGCTAGCTTGACCATGATCAGATGCAGGAACACAGGCTGATTTATTTCCTCATCTCCAGCCCAGGTCAATTCAGGATCATTTTAACTACACCTGTAGTTAATTAAGTAAAGATTTGGGATGGGGGCCCACAATCCATTATCACAACCCATTAGCCTCACACATCAGCACAGAAAGTGCACCCAACCCAGAAACTATCTGGACATGTTTGAAGCCTATAAGAGGAAAATATTAAGACATTTTTGCTGGTCAGCGTTTGATGGCCAAGGGTCAGGGAGGGGATTGGGTCTCCCCGCTGATCTATTCAGTATTGTGTTGTCTCCACAGGTCCCATCATAGCCTGCAATGGCCAAGCCAGTCATCAGTGAATCTCCAGATGGGGGTTGGGGGTGGATGATCGTTTTGGCTGGCTTCTTGAATAATTGTCTGTTGGTTGGTGTCACACGATCCTTTGGAGTATTCTTCGTTCATTTCACCCAATACTTCCAGGAGTCATCTAGTCGTGTCTCGTGGATTACTTCCATCGCCATGGCAACACAACAATTTGCAAGTTAGTCTTGGTTCCTCTTTTCTTGCTCTTCAAATTTACATCCTTTTAAAAGAACATCTCTCCTCAAAGGACCTCGTGAGGTCAAGTAGCCCAATTACTGTTTTCTGGAGGAATAGTCATGAATTGAAGGAGGCTATTTAGCTTCACAAATCTATTCTAACGTTAAATTAGATCATGGCTGAAATGGTTCTTAAATGTATTTACCCAACTTAGTTCCTTATGCTTTAATGCCTTTACTCAACAAAAATAAATTATTAATCTCAGTTTCGACATTTTCAATTGACCTCAACAGATTTTTGAGGGGAAATTAGTCATTATGTGAAAAAGTGCTTCTTGACATCATCCCTGAGCAGCCTGACTTTGATTTAAGGCTCCACTTACTTGTCCAGGACTATTACCACCAGTCAAAATAATTCCTATCAATCCAATCAAACCTTTCAATCAACTTACCACAATTGGATCATCCTTAAATTTCTACAGTCAAGGCAACACTATGCCACAAAGTCCTCATAATTCAATCCTTTTAGCCCAATATTATTGTGGTGATTCTGCACTGCATCCCCTCTTCAAGAGTAAAGAAGTGATGCGCAGAACTGAATGCAGTGCTCCAGAGGAGGGGAAGCACTGGCGTAATAGTGATAAAGAGCCCCAGGTCAATGCTCACCATGGCAAACTATCCAAGGTGAATTCAATAAAATCTGGAATTTATAAAAAGTGTCATGGTGAGCGTGTATTGTTGATAGTCGTAAAAATCCATCTAATTCACTAATGTTCTTTAAGTAAATCTGCTATTCTTACACAGTCTAGCCTGCATATGAGACAACAAGGTGTAGAGCTGGATGAACACAGCAGGCCAAGCAGCGTCAGAGGAGCAGGAAAGCTGACGTTTCGGGCCGAGACCCTTCTTCAGAAATGGGGGAGGGGAAGGGGG